CCCGGAGTCTCCCCAGCTGCCAAAACACAGGCACAGCAAAGCTGGGAGCCAGTGGACTGAGGACATCTCCTCCAGCAGCACCAGCTCTTGCCCTGGTTGAGGCACCAGCCTCTTCCAGGGACAGAACTTCTGTCTTTTGACAGAAAGTATCTTCCTGGCATCCTCCAGAAGAGGAAAACTTGGCACAGAAGGCAGTGAGACTAAATAAGCTCTAAGCAACAGCTACTGAAAATCCCAGACTGGTTTGAGTTGGAGGCACCTACAGACAACCCCATTCCAACCCCTGCATGGGCAGGGACACCTCCCAGCAGCCCAGGTTGCTCCAAGCCCCATCCAACCTGCCCTTCAACACTGCCAGGGATGGGGCAGCCACAGCTTCCCTGGGCAACCTGGGCCAGGCTCTCACCACCCTCACAGCAAAGATGATGCAGCTGACAAGCCAGAGGAATAAACCCCTGTGTGTGGGTTCTCCAGAAGAAGCTGCACAACCAGGCCAGGATGTGGGGGCTGAGGGCACCCCGAGCTTACCTGGGAGGTGAAGTCGTGCTGCTGGAGCTGCCGCCCTTCCCGCAGGTCCCAGGAACGCACCGTGTTGTCCAGACCCCCCGTCCACAGCTTCGTACCATCGTGCGAGATGTCTATGCAGCTGGCACCGTCTGTGTGGCCTTGGAATTGCCTTCAAGCAACAAAAACATCAGGTAAACCAAGGGGAAGGCAGCACAAAGCATGAAGGTTGCTTCCAAGAGAGCTCGTGCTTGGGCTGCGTTTATGAGGTTTCCTTGCACCAAGCACACCTGGGAACATATCCAGGGAGCATCCTTGGCCAGGGGGCATCAGCCTGCTGGGCTTGCTGACACACAAAGTCTGCCTTTTCATCAGGAGAAAAGTCTTTTGGTCTGGAGAAAGGTGTGGACAAAGTCTTGGGAAAAGGAGGCTGAAGGGAGACTTTCTCACTCCCTACAACTACCTGAACGGCAGCTGGAACGAGATGGGGGTTGGTCTCTTCTCCCTAATGATGAGCAACAGGTCAAGAGCAAATGGACTCAAGTTGTGCTGGGGAGTTTTAGATTGGATATTAGAAGAAATGTCTTCACCAAAAGGGTAATGAAACGCTGGAACAGGCTGTCCAGGGTGGTGGTTGAATCACCATCCCTGGAGGTGTTCAAAAGCCAGGCAGACGTGGTGCTGAGGGGACACGGTCTAGCACTCGGTAATGCAATAACCTTACTGGCCTTTTCAACCAGAACAGTTCTGTGGCAGCATCAGGAGGCAGCATTCTCCTCACCATCCCCAGGGTGCCCAGGCCAAAAGCGTGGCCAGCAAGACCCTGGTTCTGGAGCAGAGCACTCACCTGACGAGGGTCTGGTTGTGCAGGTCCCAGACGGCGATGTTGCCGTCGCTGCAGCAGGAGAAGCAGACTTTGGCGTCGGGGCTGATGGCCAGGGCATAGCAGGCGGGGGCAGAGGAGGTGAGCTCGGCCTTGATGCGGGGCGTGGGGGAAGCCAGGTCCCAGATGGTGAGTGTGCTGGCCTCCCCCCCCACGATCAGCGTGCGGCCGTCGGGGAGGAGCTTGCAGGAGCGGATGTAGTTATCCCTGTTCTGGAGCAGGGAGAGATGTCAGCAGGAGGGCAGGGAATGAGACACCAACAGCGGGGTGGTCACTAGCATCCTGGCTTGTGGCAGCAATAGCGTGGTCAGCAGGACCAGAGTAGAGATCATCCCCTCAGTGCTGGGCACTGGTGAGGCCACACCCTGAATCCTGGGGTCAGTTTCAGGCCCCTCTAGACAAGGACACGGAGGGGCTGGAGCGTGTCCAGAGAAGGGCGGTGGAGCTGGGGAAGGGGCTGGAGCACAAGTTTGCCAAGGAACAACTGATGGACCTGGTGGTTTTCAGCCTGGAGACAAGGAGGCTGAAGGGAGACCTTCTGGCTCTGCAACTGCCTGAGAGGAGGCTGGAGCGAGGAGGGGTTGGGCTCTTCTCCCAAAGAACGAGTGATAGAACAAGAGGAAAGAGCTTCAAGTTGCCCAGGAGAGCTTTAGATTGGATATTAGGAACAACTTCTTCCCCAAAGGGCTGTCAGGCCCTGGCCCAGGCTGCCCAGGGCAGGGGTGCAGTCCCCATCCCTGGAGGGGTTTCCAAGCCCTGTAGATGTGGTGCTGAGGGACATGGGGCAGGGGTGGCCTTGGCAGGGCTGGGGTAATGATTTGAATTGATGACCTTAAAGGTCTTTTCCAACCAAAACAATTCAATGATTCTATGGTTAGGGGTGGGGGAAAGCAAGGAGGACACACACTTGGGGACCCCGAGCAACCCACTGTGACTTGCTTTGCTTGTGCACACGTGAGGGATGCTTACCAGGCAGTCCAGCTGGGAGATGGGGCTCTTGCTGCCCGGCTGGCTGATGTCCCAGATCTTCACACAGCCCTTGCCCCCGGTGTAGACATGCCTGGTGGGGTTGCTGATGGTGACAGCACACACCACCTCCCCGTGGCTCAGCGTGTTGATCTGCCGGGCGTGCCGGGGGATGCCGGGACCAGCCAGGGCGTCGTGGGGAAAAGGGACCGGCTGCATCTGCCCGTCAGCACTCACGTGGAAGGAGTAGGCTCTGCCAGGGGAGGGCAAACAGGGGGATCATCCCCAGAGACGGGGGGTTGCTGCAAGCCCAAGGG